CGGTTCTCGGCCTGCCGCCGGAGCTCCCGCCTCTCCTCGACGTACGCGGGGTTGACGTACCCCTTGGCCATCACGCGGGTGTACAGCTCGACGTCCCTCTGATAGAGCGTCTGCCGCTTGTTGTGCCTTGCAAACCAGTTGGACTTCGCCAAGACTTCGACCAGGTACTGCTCAGAGCTGCTTTTCAAGGCTGCCAGGGCCTGGGCACTCCACTTCTTGGCGTCGTGGCCCATCTCCGTGGTGATCTCCTCCGCCAGTTCCCGCGCCAGGCGCGTGAAGGCGGCCTTGGAGAACTCGTGGTCTCTGTCGCTCAGGTTCGCCGCGACCGCCCGCGCCCTGCGCCTGTCGTTCCGCTCCTGCCGGGAACGCGCTTGGCCGTGCACCCCCCGCGCGGCTGGAGCCGGGCCGGCCGCCGCCGCGGCCTCTGCCCCGCGCAGGGCGGCCGCGTGCGCCGCCGCCAGCACCTTCGTGACTGCTGCGTCCTCGCCCTCATGCTCCGCGCCGCCCTCGACGGGGATCGCGTCGGCCAGCGCCTGCCGGGCCGCCAGCGGACTCGCGTCGGCGGCCGCTGCCTGGGGGGCGACGAGAATCCCGATAACTCTTTCGGAGAACGCAAACACATGATCAGGAATTCGGGGCAAATCTGGCCGGGGCGATGAGGGCGACGGCTCCGACTAGCCCTGAACGGCCCCATGGTTGCGTGCCCTGCGGCCTCGCCCGGGCCCTGAGCGTGCTCACGCGTGCTCTACCTCCGGGGGGGCTCTCTGACTGCAGCGGACCTTACAAAGGGCGGCCAGAATCCACGTCCTTGGGCGGCGGCGAACCCCGCGGCCTCGGCCTCGGGCTCGTCGCTCGTCGCGCGGCCTGCGGCGGCGGCGCGCCCCGCGACCTTGGGCGGCGGCGCCGCCCCAGGGACGTCGAATTTGCATCCCCCCAGCGCCAGAGCCTTCGAAATCTATGCCCCCGGGAATCCCGGGGCCAGCAGGAGCGCCCCCCCTTCCGCCCAGGGACGTAGATTTCGAGCGCTCAGGCGCCATGGGGGGCCAGAATCCACGTCCTTGGGCGGCGGCGAACCCCGCGGCCTGGGCCTCGGGCTCGTCGCTCGTCGCGCGGCCTGTGGCGGCGGTGCGCCCGGCGGCCTTGGGCGGCGGCGCGGCCGTTTCTGGAAGCGCACGAACTTGTCGAACTCGCACAAGCAATGGGTCGCGCTGCCTGGGTGGAACGTCTTGTCGAACTCGCCCGAGAGATGGCTCGGGGCGGTGGCCATGAGCGTCCTCCAATTGGAAACGGCCAGGGGGTCTGAACTGGACAGGCCCCGAGAGAATCGGTCAAGGGAGGGGCGTGGGCCACCCCGCTCGAAAAATCCGCCCCCGGACCCCGCCCGGCTTCCATTCGGTTCAGTTTACCGCCCCGGATCCATTCTTGGCGGCCACCGGGCACGGGAGCGGCCTCCATGGGCCGACGAAGCGAAAAACCTGCTGGAAGCAGTGGTGGGCCACCCGAGCCGGCCGGCCGGCTCCAGTCCTCACGAGGTTCGCAAGCTCCTCTTCGGACGGCGCCTGGCCAGAAAATTTGTCCGGGAAGATGTGTTTGAGGCCGCGCGCAGAACCGCCCGGGACGACCGCGTGCTTCGCGACGTCGTAGAACTCCGGGAAGCGCGCCCCCACGTCCTGCGCGATCTGCTGGCCGAGGGGCGGGCCGATGTAGTCGAAGCCGCGGAGGAACGCAAACGCCTCCGCACTCGGGTCGATGCTGACGATGATCTGGACCAGCTTGCCCGCCTCCGCCACAGACGTCGCCACCTCGGCGACCTTCTCGACAACTTTCGCGGCCTTGGCGATCTCTCGTTTCGCACCCATAGACGGGATGATTTAGGCGCCACCGAAACCGTGCTCCTTGATCGCGTTCAGGAGCCGGGCGCGTTGACCGAGGTCATCAGGAAACTGGCAGCTCAGGGGGCCGACGGCTGCTATCGTCTCCGACTTGTTAGTCAACCTCTGGCTGATTGCAGTCACGATCGCATCTGCCAACGAATCGCAATTCGCCAACACGTCCTGGCTTACCTTCGTCGTGGCGTCGTCCTCCTGAGGCCATCCTGCCCCTTCTTTCCTCCTCCTCCTCCTGCTCCTCCTCCTCCTCCCCCTCTTCCTCCCCCTCCTTCTCCTCCCCCTCCCCCTCCTCCTCATCCTCCTCCTCCTCCTCCTCCTCCTCCTCTCCTCCTCCTCTCCTCCTCCTCGTCCTCCTCGTCCTCCTCCTCCCCCTCCCCTCCTCCTCCTCCTCCTCCTCCTCCTCCTCCTCCTCTTCTTTATCTTCTCACTTCCCAACGTGTTCATAATTCGCCAAACTCCTTGAACACGTTACATAGATGGGATGTCTGCATGATGCGGTCTTCGGACCACGGTGCCGGGTTGCCCGCTTTGCGGCGCTGGAGGACGTGCCACCGCTCCTCCACCCACCACCAGAACTTGGCCAGCATCCCGCAATGCGGGCGAGAAGCCATGCCAGGCCGACCGGCGAGGCAGGAACGCGGCCCCCAGAATAACAGCTCGAGCCCGAACTGTGGATCATATTCATCCTCCTCCTCCTCCTCCTCCGCCTCTGCCTCCCCCTCCTGGTCTTCCTCCCTCCCTCCCCCCTTCGCTCTCCATGCGGCGGGCGTCGCGCTCGCCGAGTCACCCCCCGGGCGGTGCGTCCTGTTGCCTCGCCTCGTCGTCGCCGCCGCCGCCGCCGTCGTAGGGGGGAAGCCCTGGGGGTCCAAGAAACAAAAATCTTCCCATTCCCAAAGGAAAGCGTACAATCTTGACATAATCGCATCATGGATCTTCGCAACGTCCACGACGGCCTAAGATGGTCCCAAGAGAGCTCCAAGACGGCCCACATGGCCCCCAGACGACCCCGGAGCCCGAGCGCCCTCGGCCTGGAGCCACCATGGGAGCCTGTCGGGGCCCAGAAACGTACGATTCGGGACCCGCCGGCTCCGCATCATTTGAAATCTACGTCCCTGGGCGGGGGTGGAAGCGGAGAAGGAGAACGAGGAGCGGGTGGAGGAGGAGGAGGAAGGGGGAAGAGGATGAGGAGGGCGAGGGGGGACAAGGAGGATCGAAGAGGGAGGGAGGATGGCGGGTGGGAGGCGGCGAAGGGAGAGGGAGGGAGGAGGAGGAGGAGGAGGAGCAGGACGAGGAGGAGTTGCTTTTGCTCAAGGCCATCGGCCACAGCGGGGGGAAGGACGAGGGGAGGAGGAGGAGGAGGAGGAGGAGGAGGAGGAGGAGGAGGAGGAGGAGGGGAGGGAGGAGAGAAGAGAGAAGAAAGAGGAGAGAGGAAGAAGCGCGGTCCGCGCCGCACGCCGCGGCGGCCATTCAGCCCCGCTCACGGCCATTCCTCGGGCCCCAGCTCGCTATCGCGAGTCTGAGGAGGAAGAGGAGAATAATGATGATACAAGATGATGAGAAGGATGATGATGATGATGATGATGATGGTGATGATGATGATGATGATGATGATGATGATGATGATGATGATGATGATGATGATGATGATGATGATGACGATGGTGATGAGGATGATGAGGAGGAGGCAGTATGGGGAGGGAGGCCCCCGAAGGCCAGATAATCTCGAACCTCGATCTTCAGGGCCTTGAGACGTAAACCTCGGTGTAAAACCTTATCGGTTTCTGGGCCGTACTTCGGGCCTCCGGCAGCCGTTCCGGGCGATTCCAGCACTCCGGGGCGCAGCGTTCGTTCCATATCCGTTTCTGACAGCGTCGCGCTCGGGGGCCCGAGAACGGGCCCCAAACGTCCCAAGATCGACATGCGAAAGGGATAACGCCAGTTACCCCCCCCCGACCCGCCCACCCCCGAAACGGCAACGCCAGAAAAACCAACCACAGGGAGAATTCCCCCGCCCAAGGACGTCGATTTTGCTCCCCCGCGGCGCCTGAACGTCCGAAATCTACGTCCCTGGGCGGCGCGGCCCCCAAGGACGTCAGTTTCTACAATTGTCCGGAACAACTGTCCGGAACAAACTGTCCGGAACAACTGTCCGGAACAAACTGTCCGGGGCAACATTTTGCCCGGAGCATGTCCGGAACGTCCGGAACATTGTTCGTGGCCAACACAGGCCCCCACACACTCCGCACAGTACGAGAGCAGCAATGGCACCGGTCGGTCGCAGAGACGAGCAGCGCACCGAGTGGTGCTGCAAGTGGTGCAAGGGACGAGATGGGAAGCCATTCGTCAACTATCCCGACAAGCTGGCCTGTCACTCGTGTGCAATGCCCAAGGCTGTGGCATTCAAAGGCAAGCCAGCGCCCAAGACAAATGTTCCTTCTACTCGGTCAGGGACTAAGCCGCCTGGCAGCGCAGGTGGAAAGCCTCTTGAGAAGCAGCTTCTGGCCATGTCCAACAAGGTCGCGCAGCTGGAGAAGGAGCTCAAGAAAAAGCAAACGCAGCCGATCGCTGACGACGCAGGTACTGAGCGCACAGAGCTCGACCTGGTCGCGCGCAGCAAGGCTCGCATTGCGGAGCTGGACAGCCTCATCACGCATCTCAGCCTCGCGAAGCCTCTGTCCCCCGAGATCGAGGCGGTGGTCGAAGGCCACCGCAAGGAGAAGGAGCCCCTCCGTGCCCAGGTGTTCGAGGAGAAGCCTGTCCCTGTCAAGGTGCAGGAGCTTTCCAACAAGATCATTCGGCTGGACAAGCAGCAGATTCGCTGGCAATCTACTCTGGACGAGAAAAAGGCCAATCTCAAGAAGCTCGAGGCCGAGATTGCCGAGGGCGAGGATGCCATGGCCAAGTTGCGTGCTCAGCTGGTGGCTATGCATGCTGAGCGCGCCCAGCTGTGCAATGTGCTTACTGACCCACCTCCAGAGCCTCCTGGAGACGGCGCTGGCGATCGTTACACGCTCTCTAAGATGTGCCTGGTGCTGGAGCGCATGGGCCTGGCGCACTCGCTCTCTTCGAAAGTGGAGGGCGTCGTTGCCGAGCTTCGAGAGGCGGGGCTGGCGGCGCAGCGAGCAAAGCAGCAGAGGCAGGAGGAGGCCGCGCGCGCCGCTGCCCTGGCAGGTGGTCAAGCGGCTGCTGCGGCCGCTGAGGGCGTGCCTGAGGCTGGCGCAGCTTCGGGCGCTGGTCCTGATGCATGTGGCCCTCCAGCTCCTGAGAATTCGCCCATGGGCGACGAGGAGCTTGACAGCGCCACCAATGAGGAGCTCAGGGCGTTCCTCGAGGCCTGTGGGCTGGAGAAGCTCGCGGGCGGCACAGATGACGATGCTGAGCTGCGCGATGCTGTCAAGCGTTGCCTCAAGGCCCCATCTTGGCAGGAAGTCAAGCGCCGACGAAAAGCAACAGCTGGCACCCTGGATGCCTGAGACAGTCGTAATGATGATGATTCCAGGTAGTCAGAATCTCGAGAATAACCATGCGGTGGAGCTTGGTTCGGATGGCCAAGTCGAGCGTGTCCGCTCAGGTGCCAGTGCGCACACCCCGTATGCCCAGTGGGAAGGGCCTGCTGTATGCGAGGCCCACCGCGGTGGGATGGCCGATGCCCTCGCACATGGAGTTGCTGCTGGCGGCCTGGTGAGGTGCTGCGATGCTCGCCCCATCGCCCTCCCTGTAAGCCCGAGCGAGGTCCACAGCGGTGGGGTGGCCGATGCCCTCGCACATGGTGTCGCTGCTGGCGGCCTGGTGAGGCGCTGCGATGCTCGCCCCATCGCCCTCCCTGTAAGCCCGAGCGAGGCCCACAGCGGTGGGGTGGCCGATGCCCTCGCACAGGAATTTCCCCCTGGCGGCAGGGTGAGGTGCTGCGATGCTCGCCCCGTCGCCCTCCCTGTAAGTCCGAGCGAGGCCCACCGCGGTGGGGTGGCCGATGCCCTCGCACATGGAGTTGCTGCTGGCGGCCTGGTGAGGTGCTGCGACGCTCGCCACGTCGCCCTCCCTGTAAGTCCGAGCGAGGCCCACCGCGGTGGGGTGGCCGATGCCCTCGCACACGGAGTTGCTGCTGGCGGCCTGGTGAGGCGCTGCGACGCTCGCCCCGTCGCCCTCCCTGTAAGCCCGAGCGAGGCCCACCGCGGTGGGGTGGCCGATGCCCTCGCACACGGAGTTGCTGCTGGCGGCCTGGTGAGGTGCCGCGACGCTCGCCCCGTCGCCCTCCCTGTAAGCCCGAGCGAGGCCCACCGCGGTGGGGTGGCCGATGCCCTCGCACAGGGAGTCGCTGCTAGCGGCCTGGAGAGGTGCGGCAACGTTCGCCCAGTTGCCCTCCCTTTAAGCCCGAGCAGGACCCACAGCAGGTAGGTGGCCGATGCCCTTGCATATGATGGTGCCGAAGGCAGCCTGGAGAGGTGCTGCGATGCTCCCCACACTACCACCCCTGTAAGAATGAGAGAGGCCCACGCTGGTGGGGTGGAAGTTGCCCTTGCACATGGATTTGCTGAAGGTGGCGCTGAGAGGTGCTGCGATGCTCGCATTGTTGGGTTGGACGATTGTGAGCAGCATAGCCAAGCTCCAGGGAGGAGGCCGCCACGGAATCGACGACCTGCGCTGCCTGAGGACACGCCGTGCACAGCGGCGGACCACACGGCACGGCCTGGGCTTCAGATTGTCACCGTCAATGCAAACTCGCATGGGACGCTGATGCGCTATCTCAACACGGCGGACGCGGACATAGTGCTCGCCCAGGAGGCACACGCGACCGACACCAAGCTCCCAGAGGTGCAGGCCGATGCTCTCGACATGGGCTGGCGGGGGCAATGGCTGGCGGCCACCCCTACCCCAGATGGGGGCTCGGAGGGTGGAGTGGCAGTTCTCGCGCGCACGAGCACCCAGGTAACTTCAGCATCCTTTCTCAAGGCAGGGGAGATTGTTCCAGGGCGTGCTGTTGCTGGAGTGGTGCATGCAGGACCCGCTGGCGGACTGGTTTGCGTTTCTTTGTATCTTTTCACTGGCGAGGGCCGCGCGCCACGTAACCTCGCCATCGTCTGGGAGGTCTGTACATATGTCAAGAGGGTGTCGGATGCAGGGTACCCGCGGCTCATTGCTGGAGACTATAACATGGCGCCCGACGAGTTGTTAGAGCACAACTGGCTGCATTTGGTGAAGGGAGTGTGTTGTGCTCCGTCCAGTCCCACCTGCGTGCAAACCCTTCCTGGGCGGGCGCTGGACTATTTCATCCTCCATCGGTCCCTCACGGATGCGACGGCTTTCTCCCTGGGCGTGCTGGTGGACACGAGTCTTTGGCCGCACCAGCCAGTCCAGCTACAGCTGCCCCACGCCAAGCTAGCACTGCGGAGGCGAGTCCTGAAGCAGCAGGAGGCTTTTCCCCCCCTCAAGCCTGGATGTGCTCGCTACCCATGGTGTTGGGAGAAGGTCATCTCGGACGTTCAGCAGGTGCAGAGCGATGGGCAGTTGGCCGCAGTCTGGGACCTCATGCTCGATGGCATTGAATGGGAGCTTGCCAATCGACATGACCTGGTGGGTCGACAGAGAGCTGCTCACCTCGGGCGTGCGGGAC